AATATGACATTATCCTCATTTTACAGATGAGGAAACGCAGGCCTAGGGAGGTAAGTTAATGCCAAAGTTCACACAGCCTGTGAATGATAGTGCTGAGATATGAACCCAAGCAATCTGGCTCCAAACATGCTAGTTCTGTACTGTTACGCACCCTTGGCCTGCTGGGAGAGCAGGAAGGCGGGGCCTATACTAGCACTTCAGTCTCACAGCTATGTCCTCATTACCATCCCTAGCAGTACTTTCTTCAGGGTCACAACATTAACTCTTTCTAAGCCCCATTCTCCAGTCATGCCCAGTTCATTCTACTTGAAGAACATTCCAGAGAAGAAGAGGCGCCCAGACCATCATTCACCCCTGCACTGATGCTTGGGACTCCTCACCACCCTGCCCAATTTTCTCTAGGCATGAAAAGTTTGTTTTCTATGACCGTATCTCTTCTTATCTGCAAGTCAGCTAACATGTTTATTCTATTGAAGCTTTATGTGGTTAAAATCTCAATGGTTATACACCAAAATGTTAACAGCAGCCAGTAAATTTATAGGTCATTTTAATTTTCCTGCTCATACATTTTTGCGTTTTCCAATTTACATACATAAACATATAAAGTACACAGTTGAAAAAAATAATGTATTTTATAAAATACAACCATAGAGTATATTAGACAGTAATTTCCAAAGAGTCGGGAGGATGCATTATACAGCTAGGAGAGCAAGGCTGCCTTTTATGAACACCAGAAGAGCACCCCTCAGTCATCCCTCAGTCCCTTCCCCATCTGGTGAATCAAATCACCTTTCACAGATTAGTGTCTTTCAAATTATATTAGCCACACAGTCCCTTTCTTCAAACAAAAACATAAAGAAGTACAATATAGTTAGCAAATACTACAGATTCTTCCTTAAGTATTAAACTACACTGACTGAAATGGAGATGGGGAACCTGGACCCCCACCAACTAACTCACCATCCCGTCTAAAGACAACTGCCAAGGTGTTTCTGTTCTCCAAGGTGGCTCTGGAGAACACAGGTCTCCACGGAAACTATTGGTCAGCCTCGCTCCAGAGGTTGCTCAGATAAGAAGCTCTTTAAGTTTACTACAGGTTATGTAAATACTAGTTTCCTTCATTTGCCCTAAAATTGTCTGCTGATCTCCTTTTTCACCTCCAAAATCAATACACATGACTAATCCAACTTATAACTGAGTAGTTATGTCTGGCCAGAAAACCATCTTATCTTAGAGTGAGCTTTCAGCTCAGGAGGAAAAGAGAAAGATGTATTTGTTTATGCTTCTCTCTGAACTCCCTAGTTTCTGCTCAGAGCTTAATAAATCCAGTGCCCTTTTTTCATCCATCAAGCTAATGGATGGAATATTTGGTACTTCTGATTCACGGTCTGAAACTCTCTACTCTCTTAACTTCGGCGATGTCCTGTTCAACTGGTTTTCTTCCTCATATGATTTTCTTCTCTGCCTCATTTGCTAACAGTTTTCTTTGGCATTCGGTACTCTGTCTCTGGGCTACTTGCTTTCCTCTTGCTTCACTCTCCAGACAACTAATCCATATCCAGGATTCAATGACCACTGCATTCATTATAGGTGGTGCTTGAATCAGTGTGTGCTTTAGTCTTTCATATAGGCTTTCATGAGGTGCTTTAGCTCCAATATGTAGTTGATGTTTCTACCTTGCGTTCATGTTAACTCTTCAAAGCCAGTAGGCCTAACTCCAGAATCATTATCACCCTAATTCCTGCCCCGGCATCTCTATTCTGCCAGCAGTAACACTATTCTCTGAATCACCAAACTTGGAATTTTATTATTTATAACCTGTAGTTTCCCAATATCTTAGATTTTACATTTTAAAATTCTCTTACATGTGTCTCTGCTTATTATTTATGCAGAATGCAATGCTTTTCTGTCACATAGTTATTAATCAATATATATAACTGAATCTAACTGTGCCAGAGAAATTCTAAAAGTTTGTTAACATTTTAAAAAATCTGTCCCCTGTCTCTCATCTCAATAGTCTATCCAATACCCTGTTGATTTAATAATGAAAACACAAATTGAAGTTAGGATAGCAGCTACCTTGGGGAGACGAGGGTAATAACTGGAGGCTCCAACATAGGTTTCTGAAGTGCAAGTAACGTTCTCTTTCTTGAGTGGACTGGTGTTTCAGGGGAGAGACCACTCTTCAAGCATGAATTGTGCACATTATGAGTGTTATTAAAAAATGTTTTTAAAGCAGCCCTTGGGTTCACACAGAAAACGAAAGATGTTCTTGCTGATCAAATGATTTTTTAAATGATAAAGATTCTTTATAAAATTTTTAGATAGGCAAAAAAATTTAATTCTGAAAGTATCAGATATAGGATGTGGAGAAATGGGGACATTACCGGTAGGATGGCCCAGTAGGATTTGTTGTAAAGTTGGAAACGTGTATACCTTGCAACCGGACGGTTTTACTTCCAGACACATACACTAGAGAAACTCTTGAATGTGTACACAGCAAATGTGGGTAACCATGTTCATTGTAGGATAGCTTATAGTAGCAAAAAAAAAAAATTTAAAGCAAGCTGAATGCCCATCAAAAGAATAAGTAAAATGTGGTTTTTTTATATAGCAAAATGTTAAATATATGTATTTATAATCACAGTGCTCTAAAAATACTATGATGGATGAAAAACAAGTGCAGCATAAATATATAGTATAACACACACTACATTTTTAAATACACAACAGTACTGTGTATTATTCCTTGATACATTTATGTTACTGTATTTTTAAATGGCTGAAGGAAACCCTATACACTGAAATCGTGACAACAGCAGTCTCTGAGGGAGTGGATGAAAGTACTGGGGTTGACAGGTTGGGAACAAAAGAGACTGTCACTTCATTTTCATCATCCTGTTTCTTTTATTTTAAAGAAGCAAGTATGACAAAATGTCAACATCTGTTCATTCTGGGTGACAGCTTACAGGGTGTTAGTTATATTATTCCTTGTAATTTTGTCTTTGTTTAATTTCTGAAAATGAAAACATATCATTGAAATAACAGCATCTTTCATCATTTAGTCTTATTTATTGTTTAGGTATTTTATATTCCTGTTTGTTTTAAGAAAAATGTCAGTAGAGCTGAGATAGCTAAATTTCCTTTTTTGTTGTTGTTGTTTATGTTCACAAAGAAGACTTGTTTTATTTAACATTCTTTGTTATCAAAATGTGGCCTTTATTCAAACTTGTGAGGAGTAAATCATGAGGGCTGCACAGTCTGTGTACTAAGAACACACTTCCTGTGACAGACACCCTCGTGTGCCCCGATCATTGGAAGCATCCGTTGGTGTTGGAGCCAAAATAGCCACAAGCCAATGGAGAAACAAGAAATCAAAAAGACTTCCTTTTTGGTGCTAATGATTTTTTTTGATCCATGATTGTTAAGACTGAAGGTCTGAAACCACCAATGTTTATTGGCCCCGTCTCCAGTATGTCTCTCAAGGGTCATTTCCACAAAACTCACAAAAGAATGAGACCCTGCCTTTTCCACCACCAACAGTGTGCTTCCTGCATTAAGCTCTGAGCAGCACAGAGTTGCTGTGATGAGAGCATCCTGGCAGGGACAAGGGAGCTTTCAAGTCTTTTATAACAGGATGGTGGCCAGATGGACCAACCACCGTGGTGAAAAATGCGCATTTATGGACATAACACACACTACAGCTATTAGCCATTGAATGGGTAGTCCGGCTGCCTTTGAAAGTGCACCTAAATTGATTTCTGATACCATATTTGAAAAGTTAGATAAATATGGACTAAAACAGACTAAATATTATATTGTTATGCCCTTAGTTAAGGCTTTTAAACATAGACAGGTAGGAGTGAGGTCGGGGACCTCCATATCGTGCCCTCAGGGATCCACCAGGGTCTTTAACTAGAGTAGAGTTCAGATCTCTATGCACCTTACTCGCTCCTCCGCACAAGGAGGTGAAGGAGAGAGTATCCAAAAGAAGGAACCAAGCATGCTCAATTCAGACCCTTTCATCTCTCTAATTTCAGAGCCAGTGTGTCCCCAGGATACATGCAAGCACTCTGGTCTCCTCTGAGCTGTGCACTCTCTGAGGGCACCTGATGAGTGTCCTGCAAGATCGGTGATGGGTGGTTTAGTCTTTCTAAGTCAAGGGTCAGTTACTCGCAAGGCCTTTCTGCCACAGATCTGAAACTATTCGTATGTTCTCTCCAATCAACTTTATCAGTAACAAAAGCAATGGTTCCAGCTCCATCTGTCTGGCCTCTACCTCTCAGTTGGTTCCAAACTCAATAGGGGAGGAGGGGGCAGGTATTAACTGTTCTCCTCAAAACCTGATTGATCAATTAATATGAGCTCAAGATGATAAAGTAATGTAATCCAGGATACCAGCCAATAATTTGTGTATCAAATTCATTCTTACATCCATAATTATCCTGTCTGAATAGTTAACTGAGCACTGCTCACTTACTTTTATAGATTTCATACCTGTGGTTAAAAAGTAAATATATGTACTATTTATCATGGCATGCTTGAACTCTCATAGTTTGAGATAGACTCCAGTGAAATGTACATTTCATAATGTTTTACATTATCTACATAGGTATAAATATACACAGAAAACGCATTTATTTAATTCAGTCATTTAGCAATAAAAACAAAACACACGAAAACAACCCACCATGCTGTAACAGAACACTGTTCTGCATATGACCAGCTCTATGTTGGCGGAACATTGTGATTTTTAGGGATAAATTAGTGCTCTAATCTCTTTGGGATTTCCTTTATATTTGTGGTAGTTTATGACTGACATTTAATGTAACTATAGCTCTGTTTATATTTAATAAAAGATTCATTTCTGTATCAGGATACACATTTATACTCCAGTGTTGAATAAAAGCTACTGTTCTGCAAGAAGGATGTAAAATGCTGATTTACAACGACACATTCCAATAACAGTGCTCTAATTCTCCCAAACTGTTTCTCCCCAGGTCCTAGGAACAGCATGATTCCAGCAAAGGATGATTCTTCTCCTCCAGAATACTCAGCTTTCAACACATCCATCCATGCTGCAATTAGACACAGGAACTGGAAACTCCTCACGGGCTACCCAGGTAGAATATCAGCATGTCTCAAAATGTAACAACATCATTCAGGTACCTCACAATGAGGTACCTGAAGTAGAAGGTGAGAGGAGAGGAGTGATCTATTCATGTTAACCCCTGCCCCCCCCAAAAAAAATTAAGAATTAACTATAGGGGGAGTGAAAGGAAGAAATACCACTCTAATGCTTTGTGGAAAATAAGGATTTCAAATGTGTGGCTCTCAAGCACAGCAAAGAGAATCCCTGAAAGCTACATCCTCAACCACTGGTGTCGCTGCAGGAGGATGCCTGCCTCCCCTGAGTACATTCTCTATAAGTGACATCTGTTAAATACTTTTTAAATATGTGGCATGATGGTTAAGGCTGTGATATAATTAAGCAGTGTTTATAATGAGGACATTCTTGGCATTGCAGCAAGACAATTCTTCATTGTTCGGGACTGCCCCACGTGTTGCAAGACATTTTAGCATCCCTGTCCCATGACCACTAAATGCCAGTAGCACCCCCCAAGTCACTGTGACAGCTAAAAATACTCCCTACACACACACACACACACACACACACACACTCACATGTGTGCACGCTTCTGGGTACCCCTGTTTGTGAAGCAATGAGACATGTCTAGTTAAAGTACCAGAAGTCAGAATCTGAGCCAGATCTAGACACAGCTATCAAAGGCTCCATCTTTTTCATGGGTCCATGCCCACAACTCAGCTTCCGCCTCAAAATTAGAACCTGCCTACCATGCCTCTCTCCAATAAACTGTTGTATTTCTTTGCCAGGCTGTGGTTACTGGTTCCCTCCACCAACTCAACACAATGTTTCTGAGATACCCTCATCGGACCCACCAACCAAGACCCTCTGGCTCTTTGATATTGATCAGGACCCAGAAGAAAGGCATGACCTGTCAAGAAAATACCCCCAGATCGTCCAGCAACTGCTCTCCCGTCTGCAGTTCTACCACAAACACTCAGTACCTGTGTACTTCCCGGATCAGGACCCCCGCTGTGACCCCAAGAGCAGTGGGGCATGGGGCCCTTGGATGTAGGATCTCGGGCAGCCTGGGGTTGGGGGGACTAGAAGAACTTTCTGTTGCAAGAGGGACTTCAGGTCTTTTACTGGCATGACTCTTATCTCATCTGTTCCCTCAACTTGGACTCACCTGGCCCTTCTCTTGCTCCTAAACCTCACTGAAGTGTCTAATTTCAACACCTCCTGCATTTAAGAAGCTGATAAAATCTGGAACACTCCTGCTGTTGGCTGGGGTGTGCATCTAGAGGAGAGGGTGAATGGGTCCAGCCCCTTTTTCCTGAGCTGTGGGACAGATGGAAACTTGATTTGAAATAGGAAGTTATTGAGTCCTGAAGGCTAGAGCAGCTGGTTCCTTTTGTCTCACAAGTCAGATGTTAGATTTCTCTCTGCCAATAGCCGGGTTTTATTGGAGTGACTCACATTTCTTGTAACAAATGAAGGGAGTAGACGATTGTTAATGGTTCTGTTGGCCAGGGGATCTCCCTGTCTGTGAGAGATCAAGTTCAGGCATTCCATGGGAACAACCCACCTTGGTTCACCCCTTGCTCACTCACCTCATCACTCACCCCCACATGGACCATAAAGCCCATTTCATTGTCAAGGTCAGTGTGACAATATGCCTACTCCTTTGTTCTGGTTTCTACAATAAAGAACTGTGTTTTTATCCCCAAGTTTTTCCCCAGCCATTGCTCGTTTTGTCTAGACTTTGTGCTACTTCCAGCTCTTCTGTGGTTCTTTTCCTTCCCTTCCTTTTGGCTCAGGCGTCCTGTGCCTGAGAGGCTGCTTTGCTTTTTCACTCTGAGCACCGCTGGTTTTTGGAACACTGCTAACTAAGCCCTGCCTTTTTTTTCCCCCTGCATGGAAGCAAGCACCTTGCCCAGAGAAGGTGGCCACACCAGGCTCTGTGAGAGTGCTCATGGTGGACATGAAGAAGCCTGGGTGGGTAAGGCTTGGGTCTGTGTCATCTGTTTGGTGAGGATTTTTCTAGTTGCATGGAGTTGATTATCATGATTGTGGCTTTGTCTCATAATATAGTAAGAGTTGCACTGCTATAGTAAGAGAAACCCCAGGAAAGGATAATATATTGTCCTGAGATGATGGAAGTGGGCAATTTGAAATGGCCCGCATCTGGGATACTGGGCCTTGGTAAAGTCAGGAGGGCACATCCATGTTTCTCTGGACTCTCTTTTGCATTCACTCCACTGTTTCATTCACTGCTTATCACCAATGTCTGGATCAGTGCCTGGTACATAGAAGGCACTCTACACTTTTTAAAAAATAAATGAATGAACAAATAAGCAGATGAGAAAATCTCACACCATGAAGGGTGCTAGTCCAGTTAGCTGAATACAGGAGTAATATAAATATCTTCCAACCATTGCTTTTCTGTTCTCAAGCTGCCCTCCTGGGGTAGGAGCATAGTCTGCATATTAGGGCAGTCACAGGACATGCCATAGTAAATTGTAATGTACTTCATGTGGGGAGGAAATATGCCTACCAGAGGTACTCTTTTGCCACTAATCCTCAGTTCTATTCTTCATAGGACACTAGAAACTAGAACCACCAAATAATATGCTATAGGTCCTAGAATAGCCATCTGTCAATTCAGTAGCAATATTTTCCAGTCACTACTAACTTGTATTAAAATAACAATGATTGGAAGTAAATGGTGCTAGAACTAATGACACCTATTACCAACCCATACTCCACTCCAGGGTTGGAAAACAGCTAGTCAAAATGCTATTACCTCTTACTCCCAAGCCTGTGGCGGATATTATGAACTAACTGAGCCTAGATGTTCCTTCTGGAAACTTCTAATCCCAGGACTGTAGGTAGCCGTTAATACTATAAGATTGGAGGCCATCACTATGTGACATCTCTCCTTGCTGTACTCCCAGCAGCTGTCCCCAATTCTCATTCCTTGATTGCTATGTACAATGCGGATATTTGGCACTCAATAGATGTAAAAGGGATTTTAAAGACTAATTTTTTGTAAAACTTTTATTTGAGATTTTATTTTATTCACAATAGAGTGTATCTCATTAGGTTTACTTTTTCTGCACTAGAATGTGAACAGGTTTGTATGTTGTCATTAGAAGTATTAATGTTATTTTTTTCCAAATTTGTTTTCCTTTAAACAAGGGTTTTGTTTATTTGTTTTTCATTGTTACATCATGATTGCCTCACATTTGGGAGACAGAAAAATAAAACTTATCTTTTAGAAAGTGTCAGCATGAGTATGGGGTTTCCATTTGGGTGATGAAAAATTTCTGGTGATCATTGTACAGCATCATGAATGCATTTAATGTCTCTGAATTGTACACTTTAAAATGGTTAAAATGATAAATTTTAAGTTATGTAGTTCTTACAATTTAAAAAACGTGTTGGCCCATTTTTATTATCTTTCCCAGTCACCACTTAAATAAAATCTATTTTTTTCCTCCAAGAGAATAGCCATTGGTGCATTTTTAGGCTGTTCAAAGACCAGCGTGCTCACCTGGTGATCACACTTACCAGTCGCCAAGGGCAGGTATGTTCAAACAGTGTAAAGATACCCATCTTATCTCTTTCACCTTTGCTCTGTTGCCATGGGAGCCACCCACCACATGGCACAAAGCAGAGAGCAGTGACTCAGGCCACCATGGGCCTGACTTCAGATCTTTGTGACTGTCAGGACACTGGAGAGGGAATTTCATTCTCAAACTAATTCCCCTAAGTCATCAGTCATTGAGCTTAAGGTATTTCATGTAATCACCTTTGTTATTCTTCTGACAATAGAAATAATAATATCTCTAACAATTTTAGAAAATACGGAAAACTATAAAAGAAAATTAAACAATTCATAAGCCACCCACCCAGAGAGAGCCACCTTTAACTTTTTATACCCCTTCAAGAGAATAACTAAATGGCCCAGTTCCCAGATTGGTTTTCAGATCCCATTGTGCCCAGTTGAGCCCTCACTGGGACTCAAGATAGTGATAAATACAATGTTACCTCTTCTGGAAATCTTCATTTTAACCCCATTAATGAAGTATAGCTGTTTCCA